GGAGACAGTAGGCATCCTTGACGGACACCACTTGATGAGTATAGCTCCCTGGACAACTCGTCATAGGCTCTAACATGCCCACAAGTGTTCGAGTAGAGAGCCTTCAATTAGGTGATGTACTTACTAGGCACGCCTATCAGTGACAGACATTGCCATAAGACTTCTCGATCAAAGGAGTCAAATATCACTGCCTTCAGGTCGAGAAATACAGCCAGTGTCCGGCGTCTGTAAGCATGCCTATGTTCCAGGACCTGGCGCAGTGTGAATATTTGGTCGATACACCCGCGGCCAGGTCTAAAGCCTGTCTGGTTTTCTCGGGCTTGCTATTCCCGAGCTCTACTCAGGCGTCGGAGAATTATAGAACCTAGGATCTTAGACACTATGTTCGTCAGGCTGATTCCTCTGTGGTTATCACAAGAGGACTTCTCGCATTTCTTGAAGACTGGGATGATGAGTGACTTAGACAAATCGGAGGGCATCGTATTTGACTTCCATATACTGGTTAACACTTCCGTTAACCTGACTAAGAGCACTCTACCACCATTCTTGTATTCCTCATCAGGTAGTGCGTCTAGTCCTGCTGCCCTTCCCCGTTTCAGGCTACCTACCGCTTTCTCAACTTCTTCTAGTGTTGGGGGGACGTTAGACAGTGCCTTTCTTTATGTCTGAAATTTGTGCTAGCTAAAAATAGACAGTTATCTGAGCATAGTTGTAGTAGGCGATCACCGTTACCTGTATGTTCAGCCTTGATTCCGAAAGTGCCACCTAAGTGCTTTTCTGCCTCACTAAGTCTACCCACCTGTACATTGAAGTCACCTGTAACAACCACCACATCCGAATGTTTGGCTTTCAAGAGGAGGCTAAACAGTTTACGATAGAACTCGTCCTTCAGTTCATCCGAGTTGTAGTCAGTGGGTGCGTGGGCATAGATTACAAAGAGACAACGACGAGTCTCCCTATTCCTTTTAGTTCCCACTGTGCCGTTCAGTCGTATAGCGCAGAGGGGACTATCAACTGGGATCCAGTCTAGTAGTGAATTTTCTGCTCTAGCATTTGGTGTTATGCCTACACCTACAAGGCCGCGAGAGCTAGCTAACGAATCTCCAGAAACTCGAAGGGTGAATTTTACGGATTCAACAGATTGGTCAGGTGAATAACCACACTTGGGTCCTGTATGCGTGTCTCACAAACACAGCACACATCCATGGCTCGAGTTGCTAGAGTCTTTGCCAACGAAGCCTGTTGGCCAATTTGACGGAGGGTGCAGACGTTGAAGGCTCCAATATGTAATTTAGAGCGTGGTTTAAGGAGACCAGTGATGCTGTTCTGTGGACTCAAATCGTTGTCGAAGGCTGCAGAGGTAGTAGAAATTGAAGATGATGCAGCATCATTAATGAAGAGACGTGAAGGAAGATTAGAAGGTAATGATGGAGGAGGAGGATAGCAGTCAGAAGAAACTTGGGTGCTGACAGAGTTGTGAGGGCGGTTGACACTTCCCGGCTGCCCACACCGTGGAAGGCTATTTCTTCTTAAGGTACCTGAAAGAGATTTGTGTGACCACAGAGCCCATCGGACATCTGCTTGAGGCCTGTCACACGAAGCCTTTTGAGTATGATTACTTTGAACTTTTGTATTTTTGGGGCCGGATGGTCGAAAGGAAACGATAAGTGAACCAACACCACCGGCCCGGCAGACTATGGGGCATGGTGGAGTGTGTTATTTTTGGGACCGACCTTTTCTAAACGTCCCCCCCTCCTTCCACTGAGAAGGCAGCATCAGCATGCCACTGCTGGTCATCCAAGGGAAACACCTTACTGCTGTCACACTCCATCCAGCTAGAAGCAGTACGACTTCGCCCTCAGACCCCCATCATAGTGTAGCAATTTACACTACAACGGTAACTGCTTTTCGTCTAACCACTATCCAACAGACCTTTCTGGTATGGTAGGACCTCGAGGGAGCAAGCGTTCCACCAGCATAGCTCACTGGGTCATTGTGATATGCAAGCCCGACCACCACGTCAAGGTAGCAGCTATCCGTCGGGAACTAGACAGTCTATATCTCTCCTACACGACTCAGACCAACAGTAAGAATAAAAGTGAAAAAATTACTTGAAAATACAGATACTGAAACAATTTTTCATTGTGGAAGATAAGCACATGAAAATGAGAATTATGATTTAATTATACAATCGGGTGTTTCAAAGTAAACATTAATTGTAGTAAAAAGTGACTGCGTATTTAAGAGGTAATCATTAGTCTCTCATGGTTATTTTATTTTGAATTATTATTATTTTTCCCTTGGGTTCCTAGTGGAACATAGGGCTTCAGTAACACACCACCATTTTACTCTCTTCTCCACAGTCATTTCAATCTGGATACGCGACTGCCTACAACCTTTCATTTTTTCCTCACATGATCTCCTCCACGTCACCCTCGGCTCACACACTCAACTCGTCGTTTCCCATTTCCCTTCCACTTGAGGGTCTGGCCTGATGTCCGCAGTCAATCTTCTCACTGTATGCCCAATCCATCTTCTGCATATTTGTTGGGTGATAGGTTCTTGGTCGGTTCGTTCCCAGAGTTCCTTGCCGCTTATTCTTTCTAGTCATCTGGTCTTCAGTATCGTGTGAGAGTAGGTAGCTGTCTCGGTATGTCTGCAAATTGTTGGAAGTGCTTTTCGTGACACGCCAAGTTTCTGAACCATCACATAGAAGCACTGACTTCTTTGACATTGGTGTTGAAAATTCGCATGTTGTTCACGCTTTGTGCTGAGTGCAGATTTCCACACTGATTTCAGATTAATGCAGCAAAGCCTGTCTTGTTTTTCCGATCATGTGCCACCTGTAGTTGAAACGATGCTGCCTAGGTGCGTAGGTGAAAGAGACTACTTCCCTTAGGTTTCTCCCGTTGATGGCGCTTTTGTTAGTTGGGTATCTTCATCACCTCTGTCTTCTCTACATTCACTTGAAGTCCCGTCTTCGCTGCCCTGCATCACCTCTTCCGTCAACTTGTTAGTTTTTGACTGCAGATCTTCGAGTTTCTGCGACATTAGACACAAATCATCGGCAACATCCAAATCTTCTGGGATCTTTTCCCCGGTCGAGCGTATCCCTTATTCTCGCTCCTCACAGCCTGTTGCATGATCCAGTTGACCACAATCAGGAAGATCATGGGTGATAGTAGGCGACAGCATTGTATTACTCCTGTCTTCACTTCGCTTCAAAGGCATCACTAAGCTTTCCATTGTAGATCACTTGGCATGTGGCGTTTTCATACAGCAGTTGAATGAGGTTGATAAAGATTTGTGGCACTCCGTACTGTTGAAGCTTTATTTTGAATCTAAAAGTGTAATGGTGGCCAAACTACTCTGATTTTACTGGGAGTGGATAGAGTTTCCTCGTCCTCTACAAGGTCCTACATATGACCAAAAGTTCATAACTTCTACTAAGGAAGTCTTATTTAGTCCCTTCTACAAAAGTGAAAATAAATATCCGATACTTATTATCTGACTGATTGATAATAAACATCCATCTGCAGTAGTTGAGATAGGGTGATTTTTGAATGAACGAAATATATAAGCTCGTAATTCAAAACAGATGAATGGTGTGTGAACCTACTTCGTTCAATACAACTATTGAATAAGGTTTCAAGTCAAAAGGGCAGAGAATCGCCCTTTAAGATAACCCTTTATTTCCATTTAGGTGTCTGAACAGCAAACTATGCAGCAGCTACACAGAAATGCTCATCAAACATTTTTGCAACGAAATTTATTACATTAGAAATGTATATCCACCTACTCATCATTTTCATATTGATGCGAGAACTACATTCTTCTCTCCAGTCATGTTCTCAATTTGTCTTCTACCTTATTGATTTCATTAGCCATTGATTGAAATTCTAACCCGTGTGAACTATTTCTTGTTACTAAATATCTGTTTGCAGTAAACTATCTTCCGGCGTAATATTTGAACATAGCTATCCTAAAACTGAGCGTATCATTCAAGGTCACTACAGTTGGTTTTTGGAACCTGACACATATTGGATAACAGGCAGGTTTGAACTTTGAAAAGTCTCGCCACTGATGTGAATTATATCTTCGGAACACATGTACAAGATCCTCTTGAGAGGATTACAATAAATCTTCTGTTTGTTAGCTCAAAGTGAGTTTAATGTGCACTTACCCAAAGACTGTACGGCATCGACAGCTGACCTCCGCGGTGTCCTACTAAATGCTACAATCAAACCTGCCTCCTTATTTGTAGTAATCTTCGCTCTCCAAATTTCAATTAACTGGTATAGGAAACGATGTATGTGTGCAATGTCATTCTATGTTATGACAGATTGCAGGCTACAGGCAGTCAGGAATGAGTTTTAACATCAGCTGATTGATGTTCTCAAGAAATTACACTAGGCAGATATAGAAGTATTAGCTTAAAAAATTGAATGTTAAGGTTGAGTGTCTAGATTTAGAGGAAAGTCATCTACGTGACTGATGGAGATCACTTGGTTACATACCACTCAGACCGCCGTAAATGACCAAGCAGTGTCTGTTGGTGTGTTCCATATGGATTATGCGTAAAGCGCTTTTATGAGATTGACATGTATATTTAGGACTTTGATATAGCTGATGATATATTTAAAGTGTTAGGATTATGATACCTGAAACTCGTAAATTCATTACACTTTCCTTTCGACATGTTTCTTGCTTGCTGACGTAATCTGAACAAAACAAAGATGCGAATAATCTGCCCAACATTTTCCAGCCTACGCAATTTGTAGTGTATATGAATATCCCGCTCCTGATCGTAAGGCAAAGCAATCTACTATATCGCATATCATGACGGTTAGACATAGTCATTTAAAGTAGAAGACATGAGTAGATTACAAATTTCGGAACATAAGTGTGTTCGTAACAGTGTTCACGTTTAGTCGAACCACCACATGACCAATGTTGAAGCTAAGCACAACGCATTATACAAAGAAGACAAGTCGACTAATGAAGTTATGGACCCGCATAGATTGAAATAGCCTGAGTTAATGTATTAAAGCCTACCAATTTACCGTATAACTCGATCAGCAATATCACTTGAAACAGAATAAGGTAAAGAGAAAGTTAAAGATGACCGAACTAAGATATGGCACCGACCGATGAAGTTTTGATCTAAACTATATAACTTACCTGGTTGAAGCACTCGAGATAGCAGTAATCAAATGTTAGAGAATAAGTAGTATGGTTTAAAATAGACAACAGTGATACACCAGTATACATTGTTCAAAGTAATGTTGCAAACTATGATAAATTCTCCAAGGTTATACTTTGATGTCGGTATGTTTCAACGGCATATGCTGAATGCAACACAAAATCAAAATAATATGAGAAAACATTTTCAATTAGGTATAAAACTTTTTTTACATTACAAAAGAATTATAAGGATTATGAAGGAAATATTCTTTTGATGATATTAATAACTACGATTTAATTGATTTTCTATTTGGAGGCGTAGAGCTGGATCGACATAACATCTGATTAAGGCATCAGCCATCTGAGAGCTACCAACCTGTTTTTGCCATAAATCAAGTTCATTACGTACTCGATGCATCAAACCATTCATTGTAGCAATACCAACTGGATAAACATAATAGAATAAAATATTTTCATCTTGTATCGTCAGTTCATCTTCATCATAAAGGACCTAATAGAAAAAGACAAAAACAGTCGATAACAACAACAACAAAGAAACATTGAGGAAGAATAACACAAAAAGACATTGAGAACTAGAGATTCATCGAAACTGAAAGTTATGCAGTCATCACAACAGCCGATAGTCCTGGCTTCGGCTTTGATATATAGAGTAGCTGAGGTTACACACTGCTTACATATATCCATTTTGATTATCTGAGATATTCATTGTTTGGTAGACATGTATTGATTGATAATGAATGATGCTTGAAGATGAAATGAAAATTTGGACTATCCTGTTTTCATTACGATAATCTACAAACTGAGCTACGAGACTCAATCGCCCATCAGATTTTTATTTCAATTCAATCACCAACATCTTTGCCCAACTGTTATGTGAATTCATTACCCATTAATATCACCTGATTCCACTCACTCACAACACCATAAGAAATGCTAACTGGGCAGCCAGTGTGAGTACAATCGAGTAGTAGAAACACGTCACAAATTCACATAGTAGTCAGACAAAACCCTCAGTGATTGAAGTGAAATTAAAATCCGATCACCAATCTCATCTCATATCACAGGTGGTAGAGAATCGGGTCGGAAACCAGGTGGTCATTGCTTCCAATCCTCCCACTGACTAAAATAGCATATACGCTCTAACTACAACAGTTTAACATAGCAGCATCACAGTGTTTAAATATTATGTTTACATTCATCAAAACATTTGTCTACATAAACCTTACTTGACAAATATTATCATTTCACTACAATAGCTCAATTCATCTTTCTGAAAGTATTCATCACAGAAATATACCAACTATCAGAGATCACAATGGATAGTCTCTCTCTTGGGAAAATGAATGTATATTGAATCAGAAATGGTTAACAGATAAACAGAATCAACTTACAACCTCCCACACAAGTACATCGCCTCAAGTTGTCACACTTCACAACAGTATTCCAATAACAGGTGGATGGATACAAAAGGAGTGATATCATCAAAGTAGACAAAGTTGTATGTGAGAATAAACAATATGAAGATAATGGCTGGTGGGAATATTCAAGTTTTAGACAATTTCAAATAGTGAGAATACATCTGTGCCATTATGATCCATTTTCAGGCATATCACTGAGTGTCCTCAGTCACTGATTCCTGTGATTTCGGGGACCCCCGAATCACTATGTATTCTGCATGTTCGAACATGACTCAGATCAACAGATACGCAATTCATCGACTAGTGTCACATGTTCTTCTTGTCACCCTGTACCATCTTCTAAACTAATCCAACATCGCCTTGTATGGCACATTGAGGTAGGTGGTGATTTGTCATGCGCAACGTATGTCCAAGCCACCACGTCTGATAAAGATTTATAGCCTCATCAATCGACTTGCCTTTCTTGCCTACAACCCTTCGCCTCATCTCAGTATTGCTGACACGGTGATTCCACCAAACACGAGCAATGCTGCGAAGACACTTATGATTAAAAACTGAATCCAATGATGAAACGTTTCTAAAAGATTCATCAGAAGATAAAGTATACTCTCCAATGAATGATTAGTTTCCAGTTTGTATTTTTAATGTGGTAAGAGTGACATTCTATATTTGATTCTTGTTGGACTCAACAAACTACACTTTTGAATCAAGTTGCAAGAAGAGGAAGAATGTGTTTGACAGTCAAGTTTTCATATCATTTGGAGATAACTGGAAATGACTGCAGTCTAGTGAGTTGCATAAGAATATCTGAAGCACTTTCTGTTTCCCTATCGCATGACGATAATATGCATGAGGCAGTAAACTAATACTCGCATCATATTATCACTCCATGATACAAACGTGGCATGAAAATCAATCACTGTAGATATGCATACCTAAATTCCAAAACAAACTTTTAAGATAAAAGCTGACGTTTGATTCTCTATAAACTGCTTGCTGGTGATTCAATCAATCAATTAATATCAACATAGGACCAGGCATTACTGCGTAACACTCCGAGTTACCACACCTCATATCAGCACATCAAGTACAAAGGTAGTGAGGTGAAGGATGAAGATAAGAGAATGCACTCAAAAGAAATATTAAGTACGAGAAGAAAGAAAGGAGGAATGACAAAATGGTGAGATTCGGTATAGCGTCGCTAAGATGGATATAATGTGTGTATACACCTGCACCACTCACATCGGTTCTGAGCCATATCACCTAGGGTCTCCAACCACTGGTTCCTCTTGTCCCGCCAACCCCAACCACCTAGTCTGCATCGACCCACATGGCTTAAACCAACAGTCAAACACTTCAGACATTGGTGTCATGTTTTAGTTTGGCCATCTCGAGCCTTTTTCCAGCCTGGACCCACCTCAGCCAACATTATGTGACCAGGCAATCGGTGACTAGGCATACGTAGTACGTGTCTCAACCATCTCAAACGATGAAGGTTTATAACCTCATCTACTGACTTATCTCTTCTCCCTAAAACTCTACACCTAACTTCTGCATTACTCACATGGTGACACTACGGAATACATCCTATACCACGAAGGCAATGGTGGTCAAACATATGAAGCCTTTTTATATCTTCCACTTTCAATGGCCATGTTTCACAGCCATACAGTACAACAGAGTGGACTGCTGCGCAGTACACGCGACCATTAATAGATAAAAGGATATCACGGCGGCGCCATAGGTGGCGCAAATTGGCAAAAGCCAATCGAGACTTTTGTATCCGTGCAGAAATCTCATCGGCAACTAACCCACCGGGGTTGATCCTACTTCCCAGGTAAGTAGTGAAGTGGCACCGCAGAAGACCAGTCCTGGAGCAAAAATTTGCATTTGGGTGGTGAAAACCGCATCCCAAACATTCTCAAATTCCAACTCAAAGTGTTCAGAAGACTGCATCTTGTCAGTGTCTTCACTTAACAGGACTATGTCATCTGCATATTCTAGGTCTAACGAAAATTCTCTTGTGATTAGGTCAACATCTGTGTAATTAGGTGACGAGAGGGAAACCTACATAAGAATATCTATGATAAAATTGAATAAGAATGGAGACAGTGCGCATCCTTGACGGACACCACTCGATGAGTATAGCCCCCAGGACAACTCGCTATAGGCTCTAACATGCCCACAAGTGTTCGAGTAGAGAGCAGCAGAATCCAGGTCACGTTGTCCAATTGAAAGAAAGTTCATCAACATGAATTCCTATGTAACAGCGAAACAAATTAGTAGATCTCAACGTTTCGTCTGTTAATTTCCTGCTGAAACTTCTTTCAAAATTCAAAGTCACTTGTAAAGCATCTTATGCTGAAACGAATTCCAACCTGTCGAAAATGCAAGAATCACAAAGTTATCTGCACAACAAATCTCCATTTGTTTCCACAAGGGTATCATGAAGAATCAACGTCAGAATGAGAGAGTCATTGAAATCTTGGGGATATTGAATAAATGCTTCAGTTTAGCTTAACAATCGTGAGAAGTACGCACTCCAATGATGCAGTGAGGAAAAGAATCTAAAACTGCCAGGTCTTGAGAGAAATAGAACAAGTAGACCAAGGAGGAGATTCCTTTGCAAGTTTTCATTCACAACGCTGTAGAATCGCGAATGTATATGAAGGCTTAAAGTCTTCACACTCGTGTGTAAGACTCAAGCCATCCACTTGGAAAATACCGATCTAGGTACAAAAAAGAAAACTGGTCAGTTGCTTTCTTGTTTAATGATCTTGATTTGAAGTCAGCCTTTCGTTTTGCAAGTCCATTTGGTACAAAATTAATCCCTCTTTTTTATTGCACCTATGTCTCACGCAACATTAACTCTTTCTTGTTTCTATGCTCCTTTTGATCATATCTGATATCTCATTATGTTAGTCGATGCCTTGAGCAACTTCCGTTACATTTGGATTAATCTTCACTATTCAATATACATATCTATATATGCGACTGTACAGCTTACTGAATGAAATCGCTGAAGAGTCTCTTCACTGATTTGCTTCTTGTTTTCATTTTATGCTCCGATGGGTATTTTGGATACATTGTCGAATTTCACAAAGGAGTAAAAGGCTATAAATTATCTTCAAATCAGACTTGTCAACGAAAGTCTCCAATGTATTGCTGTTTCTTCATTAGTAAATAATTAACTCACCAACTGACGTTAATTTTCTGGAATCAATTCATCATAATGTCTAAACATTCGCCAACTAGGATGGGATAACTGTTCATTTTTCAATGGTTTTCTCTGTGTAATTTCGATCCGTATTGAAAACCCTATTGAAATGAATCAATCAATCAAACTTCTGTAAACAAATAAATCTAGTTTTTATGGGATTAATGATATTTACTTCATAAATTATAAAAATAATAACTAACCTGTACAATAAGATTAATTACTGGTTCAAGCCATTGAGCATGCCAACTATCATTTACAGCCAATTCCTCTAAATATCTTGGATCACCTAGTTGAATTTCATTAAGTGTATATAATTGAACACCTTGTCTTAAACAAATTATAGAAGCAATAGCTACACAACGTCGATCTATATATGTTGGAAGTGAATCAGCTCGTCCTAACCATCGAGTAAGTGATGAGTGTAAAAAACTCCTTAATTCACTTATAGAAAATGAAGACACTTGATTAATCATTGGGTTACACTCTTGTAAAAGTAGGTGTAAATTATGAAAAAATTTGTCATCAGTATGTCTGTGAATTAACCGCAATACAGTGATGAAGTAGGACCTGAAATTCAAAGATAGAAAAGAACAGTTGGGCTTTTCATTTAATAAAAAAGAAAGTGATGAATAGTAATAGTGATACCACTGTAAATCAACAATATGAACCACTCTACTTCTGATCAAAGTCATTTTAGACGATATATCTATGAGAAGATCAAGTTAGTAGAATGTTTGATACTTTATAGAACTGGATAAGTTTCCAGTGTCTGACGGATAAACTAATAAAATCAACCTAGAACCTCGCACAAAACTGTATAGCCTCAAATCGCTACACTTCACAGTAGTATACAAAGAATGAATAGGATAATAAAAGACTCATATCAAAGTAGATAAAGTTGTGTGAAATAATAAACAATTTGGAGAGAATGATTGGTACAAATAGTTAAACTTTGAAAGATCTCAAAGAGTGAATATATCTGCGTCATTGTGACCGGTTTTCAGACATGTCACCAACAGTCTAAGTCTCATCACACAGCTCAGACTAACAGTCAAAGACTTCACCGATTGGTGCCACGTCTTGCTCTGGCCACCATGAACCATCTTTCAACTTCCTCCTAGCATGCCACATCGAATTAGGTGGTGGCTCGGCATGTACAGTACATGTCCAAGTCATCTCAGTCGATTAAGGTTCACAGACCCATCGATCATTTCCCCCCATTCCACCTTCGCCTAACCTTGACTCACATAATGACCCCACTAAACGTGAGCAATCCTGTAAAGATACCTGTGATCGAAAACCTGTAACCTCTTCACGTCTTTCATCGGTCGTCTCAAAGAATAAAATGGATTGCACTGCAGTATAATCATCCTTTGATAGATAGTCCGATATCTCGCCTGTCGGTGCCACAGATGACCCTACAGGGCATGTATTCAACAAATAGCTAAATTATCAATCACATAAAATTTGTGAAAGAATAAATCAGTTCTCAGTGACCATAATTTTATTCAATCTGATAGTACTCTAGATGTCATATAATCTCTAAGCATTAGAGGTTAACGAGAACAATATATAGAAGAAGACATATCATGTAACATACTCCGAAATAGATTATACATAAATTGAAGAAAAAAGGTTTCAACATATCCTTCATGAATAGTGTTAAAACTCTGTCACACATACCCCCTCTTTCTAAGCCTAGATAAACAAAAATATATCAACTACAATAAATACCTTTAAACAAGTTATATTCATATTGATCAGTATAATACTTCAACCACCACTATGAATACAATCATTAGAACAAACTAAGAATAAACAGATTTGCAGGATTAAAATGATGGATATTCATCAGCTGCATGCAACTTAAAACGACACACCTTAATCAAGACAAATAATAAGGTTAATTCGAAACCTTGGTTGCATTGTGTTCTCTGAGCTAAGTTGTTCAGTCATGGAGGAGATTTAGACAACTTGGTTGAGGTCCGTGAGACAAAAGGAATCAATGGTCGAAAATCGGTAACAATATGACAGATGTATTCACTCTTTGACGTTGTCTAAAGCTTGAATATTCGCATCTTAAGATTGTTTATTATCTCACACAACTTTATCTGCTTTGATATCATTTTTTCTGCCCATCTATATTTTGTATGTTACTGTGTAGTGAACTATACTTACGCAGATCAAGTGATTTTTTACCAAAATGTTGTTATCCTAAATTAATAAATGAAATAATTCATTTGAATTTAGGGGTTGGTATTCATCATGGGCTGACATCGGTTGGAGGAATATTGGAAACCTGGCAGCACTGGACAGCTGTTCCGTCCTAGTATAAGACTCCTCAGCAGTGAACGCCCAGTACCCCGCCAGAGATCGGACCCAGGACCTTTAGGTTCCTGGTGAACGTGAGGACAAATACTCAATGATGACACTGGGTGATGATCACGCTATGTCGTGGACTGACAGAATTCAGAAACATAGATGATTGGATGATTCTGACCCAGTGGCTTTATGGTAACGTGCTGGTCACGGAACCTGAAGGTCCTGGGTACGACCGCTAGCGGGGTGCGCACTACCGAGAAGTCCCATACTAGTTGGACAAAACAGGCGTCCAGTGCTTCCAAGTCCCCAATGTCCTTCCAACTGATATCAATCCATGATGAATACCAACTTGAAAAATATTTCATTGTCTAGATGAATTACAGGGGGGGGGAAACTCACCACATATTCGGATATAGTACTAATCTACTGAGAAGTTCCAATCGAAGTTCTGTAGCTTTTGGACTGACATCGGAGAAGGCATTTTCAGGTGCACGTATTAGACAATATCTAGCCGCCAAAACAAGTAAACCAATTGCACTTGAAGATAAAGATGTTTGTTGTTCAGAGCATTTAATATCCAAATAGATTGTAAACCATAAGATGAATAACTTCAATTGACTCAATCTATAATAATTTATTAATTGAAAGAGAAAAGTGGGAGAAAAACAAATGAAAATGATATAAAACTAATCAACTGAGTTAATTTTTTCACAAGAAAAAACCCTTACAAGATATTTAAAAAAGTGAAGTAAACTGAATTGGTCAGTGTATACACTGTCAGCTTTTTTAATGTTCAAAATTTGTGATACTGACTGACTGATTGATTGCCTGATAAAATCAACATAGAGCCTGCAACACAGGTTCATCAGTAGTACATAAAGAACAGATGGAGAGAAAAAGAACGATATTAAAGTAGATAAAAGTAGTATGAAAGAATAAATAATCTGAAGATAATGATTAGTGCAAATATTTAAGCTTTAGACAACTTTATCTGCGCCATTATGATCGATTTTCAGCCATATCAACAAGAGATCTCAACTACTCATTCCTATCGTCACGGGGACCCTAGCAACGAACTGTACATTTATCTACATGGGTCAAACTAACAGTCAGGGACTTCAGCAACTGATGTCATATCTTCGTTTGCCATCCTGAACCCTCTTCCAACCCAATCCAACTTCCCTGATACTGAAATGGTGGAGAATATTTTTAACCCAGGTGGATGGTCTTGGTTATATTGTGCTCTCCAAGTTGAGTTGTTTAGTCATGGAGCTTTCATCGTCTTGCTAGACGATATCATCAACACTAACTTCAGTATGAGGTGACCTGTCAATATCTCTCCATGAGTGATTCACTGGCTTGTTCTGACCAACTGCTTTGTGATTAGTAGTTTCCTTTGGTGCTTGTGTTATTGACTGTATAGATTTTCCTGTTGACTGTTCCCCTACTTAACCTCTGACCTTTCTATCACTTACCATTTTTCTTATTGGTTGATAGATTGGGTCTATGTCTATACATTTACTGGTTGCTGACTGACCCGAATGCCAAGCTTCTAGGAACTCTTTGATATTCTTTGTGTTTCCTCTCTCCGTCCAAAATCTCCACATTGTTAAAGTTGAATTCATCTCCATAATTATCCACGTTCATTGAAACGACTGAAATGTCATGTGTGACGTTTAATAGAGAATTGGTGCTCATGTACACGAAGGCGAACAGGGCGACCACTTTGTTTAATGTAGTGTTGATCACTGATACTGGTTTATTAAGAAAGTATTTTTGAAAGCTCGAAAAAGCAGTGGTTACCAAAGCCTAACATTCACCATAACAATAAGTGTTTATCCACTATATCAATAGTTATAACGACTATGAAACAGAAGACGAGCAGATTAAAGACAGATCTTCTGCACAAAAATTAGAGCTCCTCGAGATAGTTAACTTTATCCTTAACAATGGAAGTAGTAAACCTCAATATTAAAATTTTTAAAAAATAGTGGACAAATTTACGTAATAAACTATGAGACACCAATTCTACGAGGGCTTACGATACTACCCTGTTACTCAGCTCATGCTGAAGTATGTAGAGAGGGGTTTGAACTTGATATTCAATGTCTCAAAGTCACTTGTTTAAGCACATGAGCCATATCATCCCGCAACGCATCCACGAATATTACCTGATCTGGCTAACAAGTGGGAAAAGAGAATGCATCTTCAACGCCGTAACAGAATACTAAGTAAATTCAAGACATTTGGTTCCTTCTGATAAATCTTCTAAAATTTTGTACAAATTACCATCAAGCCACTCGAAGAGAGTGGAGGTTAAGACATTTGAGTAAAGTTGAAGCATTAACAATTCAAAATTTCAAATCACCATTATGCATTCAAAAAAGTATGTACAATCTCTTTTTTTGCCATGGCCATCTTAGAGTAACGAAAATTTTAGACGATTCCCATATGACGTAACTATTTTTATTTTGTAAATTTTTTTTATTACATAACTTCCCTTTGTCACACCTTTGACCGAAAAGAATAAGTTTTCTCTTCACTAAACTTGTTTTCTATGTCGACCCTGTAGACGGGAAGTATATTAAGTAATCGAAGATACTGACTTAGTGATGTTCAGAGCAACTTTTAAGTAACACCTGCACTGGAAATGAATAAAAGATACACTTGAATAATATTACTGCATATATTTTTTTTACCTTTTAATTATTTACAATACACCTATTGTTAGATGTTCAAATATCAATAGATGGAATAGTGATCCAAACGTATGACCTAGTAGTTGCAATTCAAGTCTATAAACAAGTGAACTACGGTTATCATTTTGACTATCTGAGATAGCCGTGATCCAGCAGATTAGTATTGTTACTGGATGATGATTGAAGATGAAATGAAAATTTGGACCACAGCCGGATTCGAACCAGCGACCACCTCGTAACTCAGTTGGTACAGCATCAGACCGGGAAACCGGTGGTCGCTGGTTTGAATCCGGCCCTGGTTCAAATTCTCACTTCACCTTCAATCATCACCCAGTAACAAAACTACGGTTACATTTTTTGTTTGCTTATCAATTACACCTTTCTACAGAGTTTCGCAAGCTGATTTATAGTACACCATCATCACATTTATACTTAAATCCGATTACTATTTCGACTGGGGAATAAAAATAGGTTCAAGGATAAATTTGAAAATAAACTTTCAACATCATTCAACATCAGAGTATGAAAAGCTTTTCAACGAGTACTTTACCCATCGAACAACCAACATCGATTTTAAGGGTACATACCTCTGACCTGAATCAACCTGTGAGTTAGCGATTCACTGATCATAAATTTTCAAATGTCTTAAATGGAAAGACATGAGAAATAATATAGCAGATTAAGATGATACCTTAAGTATAGGTGTATCTAGATATGTTAATGTAAGAGCAAAATTTGGGCACTGTGGTAGAGTATAATTCCATATTAGATTGCTGATTTCCCATGGTACACAACGATAGATTATAGTTTACTGGATGACGTTTCAAAGTATCTAGATGCCTACATGCCTAATACTTATACCTGAAAGTAGATATTCAATAATCTGAAGAATATATCGACTACTCTGCCTGATTGCTAACTCAGCATGGTACTTGGATAGGTTTGAGAGACAGTGCATTCTGAAATACGCTATGCTACCTGATTGCACCAAAAACTGCTTTTTATTGAAATTTCTTAATCCTCAGTTCTATTTAAATAAAAATTCTATTCTGTTCAGAATAGTTTCCTCTGAACTAGAGTTTTAGTCGGCGAACATTTTCTGTTTCGGTCAAATTTCTATCAAAAACACACATACATATAATAATAATAATAATAATAATAATAATAATAATAATAGTAGTAATAATAATGATAATAACCAGTTATGGTGATAATGATGAGCACAGATACAATTTTCACGAGCAAGATATTAATCGACAATTTTCCCCCTAAGCATAATACTGTAGAACCATTGTACATATAGTGTCGTAAAAGAGAAGATTGTTTATTCACATAAGGATAAACATTTTCACAGTGATACGCGGTGTGAAAAGGATGAACACAAAGCCAGACTGAGAGAATTCCATTACGAATGATGGTACGCGTTTACAGTCTCTGCCAGAGAAGTCCTATTCACTACCATCACGTGGCGGTGTTTTCACGGATGTGAAAGGGCACAAGCGAGTGTCCAGCGCTTATCATCGGATTAGTGGGTACTGAGGGTTCAGCTAGGGGAGTTGGAAAACCATGATTCTAAACCAATGGTGTTCATGGGCTCTAGGTTTTAGATGGAACGAATGGCGTATGAACGTATTTTGGTCACCGGCAACCATGGGAATGCAGCTTCTAATGTCGCTCCACTGTTTTGGGAACCAGACTTTCAGTCAAAGGCTCGGGGAGTGGTCCCCTAAGACAACCACTTGCTTCGGTCCGGGCGCCCAGGAAGTATCCCAGACCTTACACAAGAAGTGAACAATGAACTTACAATATAAAAAGAAAATTTCGAAGCTATTAATCAACTTTTCCGAGAATACTGAAGCTCTCCACACTGAGAACTTTTTAACCGGTTACCCAATTTGCCATTAAATTGTTTTTGTTGTTTGAACTGTATTTTTTTATTACCATCTTCGCTTTGTCTTCACCTTCACTTCACTCAGCTTCTCTCCATCTCGACTCCTTAAACAATTGCCCCCATAAAGTTATCCTCCAGTAGGACATCTGACACAGCTAACCTGAAACCATGCGAACCATTTAGGCAAGCCACCTTCAACGCTCGCACCTTGATATAGATCGGAAAACAGGCAGGTTTGACTAGGACTCTGGAAAGCCTCGCTATGGATATGTACTGCATCTCGGAGACCCATATACAAGATCCCAGTGAAGCGCTTCGAATTAGTTACCCATCTGTCGGCTCAAAAAGTATATTTCATATGCGCTTGTCCGGTGACCATGTGGCATCGCCAACCGGTCTCGCACTTACAACTCAAGCCGAAGCTGCATCACTCCACCGGATCCCCATCAACAGTCGTTTGTGTGCTATTAAGCTAGAAGGTTCCTCTCAGGTAGGAAGCAACGGGCAAGAGGAACGATGTCTCTGTCATCTCTGCTTATGCTGTGACCGATTGTAGCCCGGATGCGACCAAGGATGAATTCTACCATCAACTGAGTGATCTCAACCAAATGCGCTCGGCGGGTATCGTAATGCTAGCTGGGGACTTGAATGCACAGGTCAGGCGTCTAGACTCAGAGAAGAGTCGTCTAGGTGGTTAATGGGGACTGGTTGGCCTCAGGTCGGGTATTGGTGATCGTTTTGAAATCTGGCATCTCCGAGCTGAGGATATCCGACAACTGTGTGTTCGATCATCGTTATCTCCATAGGAATGCTCGTATCCGGTGGTAATACCATGTAAATAATTCTGAGGTGCAACAGCGTGTTTGGGCATGATGGAGATCGTCATTCAACAAGTGAAGTCTAGAAACACCGGCCTCGATGGCTTGGACGTTTGTTACGCATGTCGCCTCAACGGCTTCCATACTCCTCATTGTTCGCTAGCCCTAGAACTGGACGAAAGAAGCAGAGGAGTGGTCAGTGTATGACGTAGTGTCATGGGATGAAGAATAGCTGCATCGGGTTAGCATCTGTTGGTGGATCACGACTCCTGGGTGGGGTCCGAGAGATCATGCAACTCAGTGTCTTGAGACGTTATCAGATATGGCTCGAGATCGACACCGGTGGTGGTCATATTGTAGCTTCCTTCTATCTTATACTACTGAAAAGCAATGAATGTTTTGTTTTGAATGTATCTTACTGAATTGTCCTTCTAATCATGCTATTCTTATCGTTTTTCTTTCTTATCCGCTTCCCATTGTTATTATACTATTTTATGTGGAGCATTTCTTAGTGCTCTTGCTGTACCATGCTTGTGTTCTAACAATAACATAATAATAACGAATGATGCATACAGATACCAACGGAGTGACAGAGCGAACTGCCTACTGAAAAATATTTTGACTCCATAACTTGTACGACAGCAGACAAATTCATTTGCAATGTGTTTTGGAATATTTTAAAAAATTGAAGTCTAGCTGCTAGATAAACAAACGTTCCATAAGGTATATTGATATAGAGTGAATTTATGCCTTCTAGATTCCTCGAAGAAGCTGGAATTCCCTGAAAGCTTTCGCGACCGATCACGACATGTCAAATATTCACGAAAAACTATGTGAGATTCAGATTGACTAAATTCCTAGAGAGTGTGTAGAAAATATCAAGAACATTTTAGATATTTCAACTTGATAATAAACCTTTTACGGTCTTGTCGCTGCTTTCAATTTTTGAGGAACCAAGACACTCTCCAGGATGAAGTCTATGGTTATTGGTCCAACAGTTCAATAAATATATAAATAGAATATCTCATATATGCTTCTGCCAGAAATAGGAAAGAGGATAGTTTTAAGCAGTGGATGATACTGTTTTCATCAGAATAAGTAAACAGAAGGGAGAAGTCACAATCAAAAAGTAATTATCGTGTACAATAGCGTGTAGATCAGCTTTACTGAGAAAAGAATGAAACATGAAGTTCAATTTTTGAGAGGGTGTCGAAAATTATTCCGTACACTTATTGATTTGCAAGTGAACATGATTAGACCAACCTCAAACACTTGGTGTCTACACGTATGAACAACTCTTAAGTAGACAAAAACAGTTATAGTTTTGGTCCCAATAATCCAATACAAAGAGGAAGAAGTGAAAATGAAATCACAGCGATAAATCATAATAGATTGATAAAAAATAAATTTTGTAAGGAAACATGAAATAAGATATTTTCTCAATCCAAAGGAAAAAGGCATGACACTCATTAAAATATATCATCTTGCCAACTAAAAAAAAAAACTGACAGCATACCGATATTTTGATTCCTCATCTGGGCTATTTTCATCACCTGTACAAGAAGCTTGAGAATAAAGATTCTCTAAATTCACCTGTTCATTTGTACTCCAGTTCAAGCTGACAATCAAAATAGACATCCAAAATGGCTCAGACCATTGGTTAACAAAATTTTGTAGAATATCACGACCAGCTTTATGAGCTAACCTTAAGGTTCCATAAGCAATACGAAAAACTAGCTAGAATAGAATCGGAAACAAAATGTTACATAGTAGGAACGATGGAAGAAAATTACATAGATTATAAATAAATAAAACGCTATTTATAATTCACTTGGCGTTAACTATCACAGGTAATCATGATATGCATTTCAACCTATTCAGGATTCATCATCTGAATCTACTTCCGTTCAAATGAGTGATAGTATTCTTACTGAAACTCAGACCCAGCATTCATCGATTCAAGTACTAGGCAAATCATCAATCTTATCCAGTATAACAATCAGCAGGGGATTGAAGGTATCGATGAATAAAATATTACCAGTTTTATTTACTACCGGGAAGGTGAAGGAATTAACTTACACGTCAATCAATAGTACCACCTTCCATCACTTGTTTTACACGTAAATGCTAGTTGCCTCTAACCAGTTTCAAACAGTAAATGTTGTGATGACATTATTAAGGAATGTAATAAGTTGATTAAAGCTACTGTACTGCTTTAGGAGTTCACAATGAACCCTCAACATATGCCTATAGCAACAAGTGATATTTCTGTTGGGTAAGAAAGATACCATTTGTTTACAGTTTTGTTGTTGACTTCAGTAGAGCATTATACATCAGGTTATGTTGTCATAGAGATTGGCATACTGCCTTTTGGTCCTATGATGGTGTTACAAAGGACGTCAATCAAATGGAACATGTTTTCCGTTTGGAAGATATTGTAGGGATTGATTCATTGATCTGAAGGTGGCTTTCACCACGAACTGACATCAGTTGAAGAGCCGAAGAAAACCTGAGAGCACTGATTGTTTCATTTAATTGTCCACTCAACGTGTTTAACTAAAATGTTCTTGAGTTATTTAAGTAAATAATCAGTTGGTAAGTAGGCCAACGCTCAAAGTTATGTGAAAAGCGTAACGGAATCGTGGATTTATATAAGCATAGTATTTTTATTATGTTGAGTCTATCCTTCAGGTCTGAATGAGTCTTTCGGCCTATCTATTTGTCTGATCGAAAACTAGTCAGTTTTCGTGAGATTTTTTTGTACAAGTAAGGAAACTATGTTAACTCTACTTCAATTCATATGCCCGACAGTTGCTTTCAATCAGAAAGTCGTCTGTTTTCGAGTAATAATAAGTAGCTGTATACCCACATTTGAAGATATGTAACCTCGCCTGGTTAACTAGTTCACTAGTTAATAGCCGGTCCTAAACCCGGGTTAAGATGGAAGGTTGGGCGTAGGGCTAGCAACCATACTCCGTAAAACCAACCCAACCTCTACAGAAATTTCAAAGCAACAAAATATAAAAACAAAAACAAAATTATTCCTCACTGGAATCGGAGAGACGAAATGACGAGACTCGGTGAAAGCCTTCGGGAAGCCAGTCGGCCGATTCATCTTCTCTCCTCCGATGAAAGCGAAAGTAAAAATGGGGACATGGAATGTCCGCACCATGTATGAACCTACCAAGGCTGCCCAGATTGCCAGAGATGAGAAAATAAGGCATGGAAGTGCGTGGAATCTGCGAGAGCAGATGGAATGGAAGTGAACTCTCCAAACTGTCAACTGGAGGATCAATAATCTACTCCGATATTGTCACACAGACGACAATCACGAGCACACAGAGTTCTGGAGTGGCTATCACGATGTCCCCAAGAACAATGAAGGCTCTCATGTAGTGAGAACCAATCTCCTCCAAGATCATGACAGCAAAATGGATTCAACTCAAAGGGGAGGTCACAATCATACAATGCTACACTACGTACCTAGAAAAATTGCAGATGAAGAGAAGAAAAAGAAATTCTACACACAACTGCAATCAACACTGGACAAGACTCCACCTCAGTTGACTACATCAAAATTCTAATTGGTGGGGTGACATGAATGCCAAGTTGGGAGCGGACAACACAGGAAGAGAACTAACCATGGGTCGAGGAGCGCTCGTTAAAATGAACGAGAATGGAGAACTGTTTGCAAAATTCTGTGCATTCAACGATTTGGTGATTGGAGGCAGCGTTCAAGCACAAGGATATTCTTGAGTTTATTGTGTTCTCTGAGACCAAGACATCCACCTCAGCTACAAATGTTATCCATTATTTCACACGAATATTCACAAATCAACACGGAATTCACCAGACACCAAGACACACTAAAAATCAGATCGACTTCATCTCAATGTGAAGAAAGTGGAGATGCAGCCTACTTGACACAAGGTCAAGAAGAGGAGCAGATGTAGGCTAACACCATTCACTATCTAGTACAAGGAACATGCCTTCCAAATCAAGTTGAAAGCCTTCAAGGAAGCTGGTGATAGACCACAGTTCAAGTACAACACCCAGAACACAAACTGAACTGAAGGAAGAAACTACAAATGAAATCTTCACGGCAGCCATCAAGACAAAATGGGAGATATTGAGAGACATCCGTGAAGAAACCTGTGTGGATGAACACTGGAACTCTTTGAAAAAGATGTGGAAAGAAACCTGCACAACCGTATTAGGAAGGAGGAAGAAAGAAGATGAGGAATGGATCTCAGTGGACACATGGAAGCTGATAGAGCAGGGAGAGGACGATGGTGAAACAGAAGATAAACCAGTGCAAGGATGCACAACGAGAAGAGGAACTGAGTACAATGCATAAAACACTACACTGGACAAAGAAGTGAAGAAGGGTGCGCGGAAAGACAAAAGACACTTCTACGACACACTGGCAAGTGAAGCAGAACAGGCTGCAGGTAGGAGAGACAAAGACCTGACAACACTATATCAAATAACCAGGTTACTATCTGGAAGGGAAGAGATCAACGCTGAAGAAAAAAAATAAAAGATGATGAAGAAAATCTAATTACCGAAGAGGAGAAACAAAGGAAACGATAGGCTGATCACTTCAAGAAGCTCTTGAATCGACCACCATCACCAACACCACCACCACCACCTGCACTTCATCCAGAAATACCACCTGCACCGCACCCACTGAACTACAAGTGAACATAAATCCTCCAACAAAAATGGAAGTCCTGAACGCCATTAAGCTACTGAAATGTGGGAAAGCAGCAGGACCAGATGGGATCCCGCCAGGAGCACTGAAAACAGACACAGAGACAACAGTGGACATGCTCACACCACACCACTATTGCAGAAGGTGTGGAAGGAAGGGGAGGTAGCTGTCAATGGATTGGAAGAAGGGTTACCTTGTCAAATTCCCGAAGAAGGGAGACCTAAGTGTTTGCGAGAACTGGCAAGGAATCATGCTCCATTCCTGTCCACCCAAAGCAAGCAAAATATGAAGCCGCATAATCCTGGAGAGACTAAAGTATGCACTGGATTCAAAACTATGACCCGAACAGGTTGGCTGGCTGGATCCAGGAAGTATAAATCATGTGCGGACCAAATTCCATCGCTACACTATGCATCATCATGGAACATAGTATAGGATGGCAGTCAACTCAACTCCACCTCAACTTCATCGACTTTAAGAAAGGCATTTGTCAGCGTCGACCAAGAGGTAATTTGGAAACTGCTTCAACACTAAGGAATACCATAAACTTTTATCAACCTCATTCAACAACTATATGAAAACGCCACATACCAAGTGATCCACAATGGAAAGCTCAGTGATGCCTTTGAAGTGAAAATAGGAGTGAAACAAGGTTGCCTGCCGTCACCCATGATATTCCTAATTGTGGTCGACTGGATCATGCAGCAAACAGTGAGGAGCGAGAAGAGGGGGATACGCTGGCTGGACCGCGGAAAAGATCCTAGAAGATTTGGATTTCGACGATGACTTATGTCTAATGTCACACAAACTTGAAGATCTACAGGCGTAAACTAACAAATTGGAAAAAGAGGCAACGAAGACAGGACTTCAAGTGAATGTAGATAAGACAGAGGTGATGAAGATACTCAACCTACATCACCAACAACAACAACAAGCTCCAATCACCACCAATGGGAGAAACCTAAAGGAAGTAGCCTTTTTCACCTACCCACCTCTAGGCAGCACTGTTTCAACTACATACGGGCAGCACAGGCACAGACGAGGACGTCAAAACCAGTCACAATCGGAAAGACAGCAAGACAGGCTTGAGATCATTAGCCTGAAATCAGTGTGGAGATCTTCTACACTCACCACAAAGTGTGAACAACATCCGGATTTTCAACACCAATCCAGTCAAGTCAGTGCTTCTGTATGGTTCAGAGACTTGGCGCATTACGAAAGGGATTTCCAGCAAACTACAGACATTCATCAACAACTGCCTACGCTGACTCGTTTCTGAAGCTCAGTTGGCCAGAATAATAAGAATAAGTAAGAAGGAACTCTGGCTGTCTGGCAACGAACCAACCAACAACCTATCGCTGAACATATATGCAGAAGGAAGGGGAGATGGATTGGATTGGGCATCCACTTAGAAGACCATTCGGGGACATCATGTGCGAGGCACTCGAGTGGGACCCAGATGGGAAACGACGAGTTGGGCGTCCGAGATGAGGGTGACATGGAGGAGATCGTGTGAGGAAGAAATGAGAGGTTGTGGGCTGTCATGGAGCCAGGTTGGAAAGATTTCAGAGAACAGAGTGGAATGGATACGTGCTACTGAGGCCCTATGTTCCACTAGGAACCCAAGGGACAAATAATGATAATAACAGTAAATCATCACGTCAACGAAAATAACAGTACAAAGTCAATCGGTGAAAAGCAAAGAAAATATGTTAGAAAATATAATCTACTAATGAGTAGTTCAACCAATAACACTGAACAAATGTTATATCAATCTTCTACAATCGCATTAAAATACTGTGAAAAAAAACATGCCATGTTTCTTACAAATGTTTAAAAAAAATGCTTTAAATCCATGATTTAAGTTTATCACACGATTCCTGACTGCTTTAGTCAAACAGATCGACTGATGAACTTTGCTTAACAGTTCAGCTACATTTGGATTGGGATAGGAAATCCTGACTAGGTAGCCAGGGTGAATACAATCAAGCGACAGTAACGTGTCACGGACTCACATGGTAGTCGGGTACAACCCTTGATGATTGAAGTGAAACAAAAATCTGGTCAGCATTCGGACCTCCTGCTCAGTTGGTAGAGCATCGAGCCGGAAACCCGGTGGTCACTGGTTGGAATCCGGCCGTGGTTCAAATTTTCATTTCACCTTCAATCATCACCTAGTATATATATTAATCGTAGAAAAAATATGAAACTTACATCAACCTGTTCCCCTGAATCCACACGACCAAGTAAAGGTTGGTTGAATGAACCATTCGTAGCTAAATCTCCACTAGTCTGCAGTAAACGCATACTGTCTCCGACTAATACAGGCATCAAGTTGATTAAATCTGGTGACCATATTGAACCATTACCTTCGACCAGACTAACCCATAAACGAAGACCTGGTTCAAATAAGGTTTCTGAACCACTAATACTGTTTTCTTTAACTTGACTTAATGACATCTGAATCAATCCGATTACAGGACTTCGTATTAAAGCATTAAATTCCGGAAGTAATTCAACATTTTCATTAGATGCATTCAGTTCAGTAACTAAAAGACATACGGTATCCAAGATATTGGCACGAAGTGCAGCACTTTGACCACCTATCATAAAAACAAAACGTAATAGTCAACATATGCGAGTACTACTGTTAAACAAGACAATGTGCAAACAGTTTGAAATGAAGTTATCATCTAAAGGGGAGGGGGGGGAAGCATTGAATATTAATTTTCATCAAATAACAATCAAATTCAATGATGAAAACTAGGATGACAGAAATACAAAATGACTAATGTTTTTTGGTCACTATAGTATTATCATTATTTGTCCCTTGAGTTTCTAGTGAAACTTAGGGCTTCAGTAGCACTCCACCATTTCACTCTCTTCCCTGCAGTATTTCAAACCTGGCTACACGACTGCCCACAAGCTTCCATTTCTTCCTCACACCATCTCTTCTATGTCACCCTCGGCTCAGACGACTAACTCGTCATTTCCCATTTGGGTTCCACTCAAGGGTCTGGCCTGGTGCGTGATGTCCCCAGTCCGTCTTCTCAGTGTATACCCAATACAATCCATCTCCATTTTCTTCTGCATATTTGTTGGGTGATTGGTTCGTTGAGGGGCCAGCCAGGCTTATAGGAGGTCAGTCACGGCCTGAAGAGCTCAGTGATAACTCCGTTGACTACAACACTGGGTGACAAGAGTTTGAACCTCATAGAAGATATCAGTTCCATCGAGATTGTAGATATGCCTTGTTAACGAGTGCAACCAGTACCTCCAACCGTCTGACACCAATCAAAAGGCATTATAGTTCTGAGTCTCATCGTTTGATGACCACATAATGAAATGGTAGATAGAATTCAGTCATGAGATTGGTTGCTCTGTAGTGATCAATTCATGTATGTTATCTATTTTTCTGCTTTGGTAATTTAGTTATCTGATTAATAAATGTATGCCTTAACTTTCACTCCTTTGTTGCATCGCATTTTATTAAACTTTGAAATAATTAATATCAACTTTGATTTTGACTAGTTGAGTTTAAGCTCAGTAGATTCTATACACTTTATTTATTATTTTGTTATACACCCCTAAATAACCTACATGCCTGTTTTCACACCGTTACTAGTTTTTCTTCCCCTTGTATCGCTGTCGACTGTATTGACTGTTGTTGAGATGGTAAAGAGCTCTCCTCTGTCAACGGTCTGTTTTCGCTTCTTTTCTTCGCTAGTCGGTGGTATTATTGTTGTGGTGGTTGACGTTTTGATTGGCGTTAGAGTCGATTCGCTGCGCGTTAGGTTCGGATCGTTCGTAGTCTGTTAGGCTGGTACGCTCGTCGAGTGTTAAGGTCATATTACTGGTCATAACGTATCTATCTACTGACTAGTTTACGTTTACTGTTGTTCGAGAACCTTCAATTGAATGATGTAAATATGTGTAAGCTTTTTAGATGTTTTCTTGGCGGCTACATTTGAAAAAGATTGATAGGATTTAGTAAGCACTTTAGGAATTCAACCAATATGAAATTGGTAGGTGATCTAAGGTGATCCTCCTATTTAACCTGCATGAAAACCAGAAATTTAATTAGTTGAAACTAACTTACTTGTCAGCAGCTGGAAAACAATCTTTTTAGTATAATTTAAAGAATTATAAATGATAAAAAAAGAGTTATTATAATACTTACTAAGACTCCATAAGTGATCTAAAGTACTTAAGATAGGAGATGTAAGTTGAGGGAAAGAAATTAGATCGATTCGCTGGATTAGATTACGTAATACAGTCAATAAGTAAATTTGTGTTTCGCATTCTTTGACATCCTAAATACAAACGGAAATAAAATGAGGGTCAATTATAAAAAAGAAATGGAAATTATGTTGAAATCGAAGAATAAACTTTAATTAGTTGACCAAAGCAAACTAAAATGACTTGATCACTAAGCAAAAACAAACGATTATAACTGATAGATGTCTATACTTGTTATAACCATTAGATTTCTTTTATCTACAACAAAACCCTGTAAAATTTTCTTCGAAATTAACTGCTTACTATTGATTGCTTCCAAACAATAAAGCATGAATATGCTGTTGTTTGTATTATCCCATTGTTGGGTGGACCGAATTGATCGATCTCTGTTGGCGCAGACACCTCAATATTGCCCGTCCCTTCAATGTTACAGTACTAATACAAGCAACAATATAAGAACTATACCCGTCGCACAATAAGTGGCTATCATGACTCAGTAGCCTATTAGATAACTCTCTGACATTTTTAGCGATCGGTCCCAGGTTCAAGCCTACGTGGGAGACAGGTACATCCACCCGAAGAGTTTCAAATACGATGAGATCCGCGTCCTGGATCCCATTACTAGCTACTAACCATCATTACTAGTAAACGTGAATTTCTCAAGTATGCTCTGATATTACAAATGAATTTTGCAAATGCGTTATATGAAAACATAAACGATTGGAAAATTTGAGCAAACGGATACAACAATTATATTATAAGATAATAATGTAATGAACTATGAAAACTTTAAAACTTGTAAAACCAAGACTCCAATTTGTCATCACAAGAAGTAAACTTATTTAATGGGAGACATGAAGGTTCTGAGTTTCAACATAGGAGAACCAGAGACGATTTGAGTTGAAAATAATCTTTGGAATAATTAAACGCCAACTGAATGACACTATAAAGTATTAGTTGATTAGTTCAGTATCATAAAAGTGAATTTACCAGTGACACTGAGGTTTACTGAAGTATTCAAATGCTGAATAAATAATAATGATGATTTCGAGCAGTACCGTATTCACTACTCGCTCACACCTATCAGAAATATCAAGAAATGAAACCCAGTATGTGATTGTAAAAATGGTTTCCACTAAGAGAATTTAATGTATGTAAAAGTAGAAACAGGAGATTATCGACTACTTTCTTTTGATTATCTCAAAAAATTTTCGGTCTTGAACTGGTAGCTTAGTTCACACTAATAATAAATAAATAAATAATAGGTTTTTTAAATGCTTTAATGTAGGCGAAGAACTTGGGTACGACGAGAAAAAAATATTCCTATATTAGATTTCTCTATCTGATTAGCATACAGTGATGCAGAAAGAAATATTTCTGGAGCGAATTCTATGAGAATCAGAAAATGAACGAGAATTAGGTAAATGAGACTGTAAACGATAGTACAGATTACGATGAGCACGGGAGACCACTGGATTTTTATAAAAATTTACACCTGATATCATTTTATCCCATAACAGTTACGGTAAGTAAATGAGCTCAGAATCTTACTAGTAAATCAGGAAAAGTAAACAAGGTTCTGAAACAATCAGGAGAAATATCATTGCTAAACAACTTCTCTCGCTCACTCATTTATTTGAAAATTCATAGGAATTGATGCGGAAAGGAGAAATAGTACCCTAAGAGGTAATTGCAATACAGGTAAAAGGAAACTCAAGGTATATGGATACCTAGTCGTACCACATATAGGAGACATATCTGAAACTTTGTCTGGCTGTTAATAAGGCTGAGAAGGATGACAGCCGTACCAATAAACAGAAGAAAACATTTGTTCATTAATACTTGTAATTGCACATTGTTATAGTGGATCGAACTTGTTGATCTTTGTTGATATATGGGCTCCTATGGGGATGCTTAGATATTGCCGGAATATTTATTATGTTACGACTTGGTGGATGGCAGTTAGCAGTGGAATCCACAACGTGCGTCTCGTCTTATTTAGGACTCATCGGTTGGGTGTACCTGCATCTCAATAAGTGGTGATATGTTCCCATTGAGTCTCAGACACAGTACCCATCGCCATAAACATCAGAGCGTTATCCACTAAACTACTGACACATAAGAGCCGCCTTTTGTGCAACAGGTATCGGTTATTATTTATTATTACTTGTAATTTCTCATAGTTATTCTGGAGGGAAAACAAGGGAATAATATTCCTTTCCTAGATGTCTTCCTCACCAGGAAAATGGATGGGTGTAATAGGAACATTTTCCGAAGGAACATTTGAACTGGTCGTCATATTCACTTTCATAGCTTCACGCCGATTCAATATAAAAATCTGGTCAAATGCCTGAGTTAAAGAATAAGAAACGTTTGTTTTGATAACTGTATTGAAGAAGAAATGAATAAGCTGAAGATAACATTGCAGCAAAATGATTATCCGCTAAACTTCATAAATAAACACATGTCGAAACGTAGAGAGAAGATAAAGAAAGATAATGTTGCTAAATGGCCTATACATCTTAGACTAAGTTTCAAAGGTGATATTGCCGCGGATATCTTAACACATCAGTATTCAGTTACAGTGGGAGCACTATTACTCACTGGGATCCACATACATCCACCCGACGAGTCCCAAATAGGACGGAACACGCATGTCGAACTTCACTGCTAGGCATCATCAAGCCGATCATAACAAAAGAAAACTTTGTATGATTAGGGATTTTCCTGACTAGAGTGAAAAATACATGATTCAATTTACCAGATAACATACTATGACTGCCAAGTCAAATTCACGGGTCTGATCAGCAGAAAAGGGTCAGTGACGCCATCATAACTGGAACTTTACCAAATACATAACCGTAGATCCCATAATGCTTAATAATACTAGTAACGGGGATGATTTAATAATTCTAGGTTTACCAGAAACTCTATCATCACTTAGATTGAAGAATGAGAAATAATCGAAACATAAAATTCAAGTCTCGAAAAGTCCATCACTAACCTTGATGTGATTATGTGCAATAAATAATAACCAGAATGCCCCTCCTCCAAAGTGGTAAAAAATGGCTTTAAGTGTTAATTTCCATTTATAGCTTTCTGTCAAGTTAACTCAAACGTGGCTTTAAACAATGCGACACAATTTCCAAAAAGGACGTGAACCAAAATATACTACTAAGTAAATAACTGGTGAAAAAATCTATTTTCAAAAAGTAGATATAACTAAGTTCACACCAGTAGTGAACAGTGACACAACTGTAAATACGGATGGTAAACTGGTCAAGTACCATGTTTAATCCAGTCGATATATATTTCGATTGTTGCAGATGTGTACATATCGCCAATCCTATTTAGAAGTTTATGATAAACATTAAATAAATAAGAATCCTTTGAATCAGTCAATTAATATTTCATTTAACCGCAAGGAAGTTTAAATAAACACTACACAATGAAAAATCAGGTAATAACAAGGAGTAAATTCGAAGAAAAACTACCTTACCTGAATCAATAGAAGTATATTATACAGTAGATTTTCTGCATGTGTTGCTAAGACATCTTCAGGAAACACTGGTTCTTGTAATAACCATGCAAGACTGTATGCAGCTGCTAATCTTATACACAGCATCAATTGATTTCGAGATATTTCTTGACCCCAGTTGGATGGACGACATAGGAATTGATTGAGGTGTCCAAGAGCATCGATACATCGTAACTTCATTGTCGAACTGTTCACATAAATAGACAGAAATCAAATTTTAAAATTAAGAGAAAGTTTTTAGGACAGCAGCATATTAAAAACCACATTAACAAAGCAATAGCACAGCATGAAAGCTGGGGCTCAGTGGTTTAAGGAAATTACTATCTGTCTATCTACTATCACGAATTCGAGCTTTTCTCCACCTACTGAGGTTTGCACAGCCAGATAGTATGACTAGCCCTCATACAATAGGTGTAACTAGTTGTCTACAGTATGAATGTGGACAAGGTAGCTGAGTGCGTTTCGTTCATTCATCATCAAGATCAACATAGGACTAAGCATTACTGAGCAATGGTCCAAGTTGCCATACACACACATCAGCATGTCAAGTAAAAAAGGTAATAAATGAAAGATGAAGGAAAAAGGAAAAATCGGTCAAAAGAAGCAGAAAGTAGTAAAAGAGAAGGAGGAATGAGAAAATGATAAGATTAAATACAGCGGTTAATATGGGGATAATGTGTGTATGCATCTGCACCACTGATATGGATTCAGAGCCATATCACCCAGAGTCTCCAACCACTGATTTCTCTTGTCCCGCCGACCCCAACCGGTTAGTCTGCATCACCCTAAATGGCTCAAACCAGCAGTCAAGGACTTCATGCATTGATGCCATGTTTCAGTCTGGCCTCCCCAAAGCCTTTTTCATCTAATTTTAAACACACTTAGATGTTCAAAAATCTAGTCTGCTAAAATTCATAGATATACCACAGGCAGGTAAACGGGTTTGAACCATAAAAGTGAGACTGTTTCTGCAGGTAGATATTCATATAAAAAAACCCACAGTATGAGATGGATTCGCCAATTCATCTAGAACATACTAAAAGTGATTATGGCCACAAATGACCAAGGTGATTGTTACACACTCTAGTCATCGTAGTATTGGCAATAAAATCCATTTACTAATATATTTATACCATTCATTTCCAGATAAAACCAGCTGTAATGAACGAAATAATTGCGAAATACAGTTATCCAGCAAATTGCTTACTTTAGAGATAATACTTCTGAAACCGATAAAAACTATCTTACGGTGACTAATCCAGTTACTTATAAGTAGCTCAAATATAACTAGGACTCTAGGCCAGATGGACAGATGAGATCAACATAGGGCTAGGCATCAATGTGTGGAGGTCCAAGTTACCGCAACTCATTTCAGCAAGTCAAACAAGAATGCATTAAGGTGAAAAATAAAGAAATGGAGAAGAATGCAGTCAAAAGTGGTAAAAAGTGATAAGATAACAAGAAGGAACGAGAAAATACTGAATTCAGTATAACGATTATGATAAGGATTATGTCTTCATCTATCTGGGCCTATGAGATCGATTCTAAGCCATGTCAGTAACAGTTCCAAACCACTGATTTCTGCTGTCACACAGACTCCAGCCGGGAAGTCTACATTTCCCTACACAACAGACCAACAGTCAAAAACTGTATGCAATGATGTCATACTTTATAGTGATCTCCTGTAAACTTTTCCCGCCTGGACTTACTTCAGTTAACATTGTGAAACGATGCATACGGTGACTAGCCATGTGTAATACATGTTCCTGCCACCTGAACCGACGTCTTTCCTCTTATCGCCCAAACTCTACACATGACTTCTACGTTACTGACGCTGTGACATAACCACACAGACAATGCACGACGGTGATCGCGATCAAACAAATGAAATCTTCTCATATAATCTATCTTTAATGGTCATTTTTCACAGCCATACAAAAGAACCAAGCGAACTACAGAACAGTACGCTCGACCCTTATTGGACAATCGGATATCACGACAAACGCAGGAATGCCATACGACGGCGAAAGTCAGTCGACTCTTTCTTGTCCGTGCAGAGATTTCGTCGGCCACCTACCCATCGCGGCTGATCCGACTTCTCAAGTGAGGTGGTCTATGCGTTCAAACATTTCACTCTCAACTGTTAGACAACGCATCAGTGAATAACAACACTAGAGAAACAATTCGCATTCGGATGGTGATAAACATCCTCAAACTGCCCTTTAAGGTGTCCAAAAGATTCTGTATCGTCAGTATAATGACGTAATAGGACAACACCATCTGAGCACCTTAGATATCCTAAGGATTCTACCGTGATCAGTCCCTGTTAAAGTCAGATGGCGTGAAGGAGACCTCTATAAGTATATCTATGGAAACACCCAAGAATGTTCGAATACAGAGCCTTTAACAGAGTGATATATTTACTCAACACTCCTTACAGTGAAAGACTCTGCTATAAGACCTATCGACTGACGAAGTTCAATGCCTCCATCAGGTCCACAAATACACCCCAGTGTTTGATATCATTAAGGGTGTTTGTATTCCAGAAACTGGTGGAGGGTGAACGTTTGGTATACACACCCATAACCTGGTCTGAAGACTGTCGATGTTCTCGGATTTGGTGTGCCCGAGCTCTACTTAAACGTCTTATAATCATAGAACCTACAATCTTAGACACCATGTTCCTCTCTGGTCATCACAACAGGACTTCTTCACTTTTTTGAAGATTGGGACAGTCAGTGATTGAAATCAGTCAGACGGGATCATATTTGACTCCCATACACTACCCAACACTTTAGTTAACTTGACCAAAACTCCTCGACCGTCGTCCACAAATACCACTAGTACTAGTCTGTTCGACCATGGTGCTCTTCCTAGCTTTAGATTAATTACAACTTTCTCGACTCCTATAAGTGTTGGAGGCCCTGTTTCGATTTTCCATTTACGATCCAACTGGATAGCGGGCAACGGAACAGTAAATGGATGTCAGTTGAACTATTCTGCAAAGAGTCCCACTCATCACTCCTCATTGTGCTCGGAGCCCATGAGCACCCACTTATTCAGAAGCTGCGGAGGTCCTCTGATCGCTTCTAACCACCTTAAGAGAGTCAGCTATGGTGTCTGAAGCTTTTTTCACACCAGAATGGAGGTGGAGCCAGGTTTCTTTCAGATGAGAGATGCTATTTTGTTACGTTAAAAACCTAGCCAGTTTCCCGCTGAAAGAAGCCTAGTATGCTTATGGTCAAAATGTGCTTGTATTGGTCTTATTGCTGCAGTTTTTCAATGTTCATTTAGGCTTAGACCTACACGAGTTCAAAACGATATGTGATCATTGTCCGAACATATGCCCATAACAATTTAGTCTGTGTGTGTCTACCATTGAGTTGAAGTCAGGGGAAACCATATCAAAAAAAGTCTAAATTGTTTAAAGTGCGTACTGGTCAGAAAAAGATGATGGCTGAAGCACAGTTGTAGCAGGTGATCTACGTTACGTGCGGGTTCGGCTGGAATTCCAAAAGTGCCTTTCTGTCTGACTTGTTCCACCCACTTATGCATTGATATTTTAAGCCAAATATTATATAGTCGTAGACATCAGCAACATATCTAATTATTAACTGAAGCGCTGCACTTTCCGTAGCTTAAACTGGGGGCACAGGGAGTAGATTGACAAGAAGAAACACAGTGAAAGCAATAGGGTCAGTAGTTACCGAAAAACTAGAAATAGGCAGTGGAAACAAATAAAATGAGTGAGAAATAATATATTAACCAAAATCTGTAGGAAGCCAGGGCACAAAGATATCTGCCCATCTTCTGTTAATTCGGATATATTGCTGAGTGTCTGCAGTCAACATCAGCCGTTTACAATAAAAATGCACTATTTAGCATGGCTCAGACTAACAGCAACAAACTTTGTACACCAGTGTTATGTTATGAAGTTAAAACTTTAGGGGGTCTTTCAACTCTGTTGTGATTCTAGTTAACACTTCTCACTGACTTAAGCGTAGTGCATGCACCAAAACTTCAAGCTGACGATGGTCTATGATAATATCAACTGATTGTCTCATCTCCACGATAATTCGTCAGGCAGATGTCATCTAAGTAGTTTCGATAGTTTCCTATTAATTACTTTTACATAGGCACATCAACATGCATTGTAAAAAGAGTAAAGACAAAGAAATATGAGTAACATGATAAAGTCGTAAGACATTATGAGACAAAGAAACGGAGTCAAAGGCAATAACAACATGTGGTGTTTTAGTTGGGACGAAATAGTGTGCTGATGCATCTGCACCACTGTGACGAATTCCGATTCACAGCAGTAGTTTCCAACCATTGGTTTCAGTTGTTACGCAGACCTTACACTAGAAGTCTACATTCGTAAATATGGTCTGCACTAATAGTCACGTTCTGTTACTACATATGAGTCTGATCCTCCCGAACTTTTTGACCTTATGCCAATGTACCTGACATTGAATGTTAAAGTAGATGACGACTAAGTATATGTACTGCATGTTTCAGTCACCTCAGCTAATGCGGGTTTACAAATTTATGGGCTGAATTACCTTTTATTTAAAACTTTGCATCTAGCTTCTACGTTACTCATGTGGAAGTCCCACGATACACGGTTGGTTCTATGAGGGTAATGGTAATCGAGTGACTGAAGCTCCTTTCAGCTATAGCTATAAAGGATAGAAAGAAGTGCTGCACAGTAAAGTTAATCCTTACCGTGTTATCACATATTTCACCAGCATCATAAGTCCAGCAAGATGACAAAAATCGACTGCGCGTTTCGTATCCATGCTGAGATTTTATTGGTTAGAAACCCACAGGGGTAGCCTGACTAGTAAACCATAGCGTATATAGAAAATTGCGAAAATAAACCACACTAATAAATGAAGAACCATAATTGGTAAAAATCTTCAACGAGCACATAAGTGTACAGAGACAGAATCCTAACGCATTTCACATTGGTTTTCAAATTTGTTCCTACTTGACTGATACGAACGTCTATGTAGAAAACTTGCGTTCTAGTTTCTAACCTTTTATCTGGGGATTTTTTTAAAGGTTAAGCTGTAAAAGTTATGAACATTAAGGCATTTACTTGTATCTTTTAAACAATGGAATAATAAAAGAAAAAATTCGTTAACATACTTACGACTCCATATCATCTGATGGAATACACACTATGCTGTACCGCGATAAAAGGCATAGAGTTCGGGTTAAAATAACAACATGGGCAATTTCATCTTCTAATGGCTGTGAACCAAGATTGTTTTGTATAGAATTGCCTAGAACTAATCCTTCAGCCAGAAGATGCTTCGTTAAAGTAATCCAATTAGCTTTAGTACCAAAATATGGTAAGCACAGTTGTATGAGTCGCATAATAGCTTCGTAGATAAATGGTTTGTCTATTCTAACATTTATTTCCTAAAAAGCAAAAACATCCAACATCTAATACAGCAAACTAAATTGTAAGCTAAAATTCCAGTGTAGTATATTTAGAATACACATTTGCAAAAGTACAAAGAAACTTTGGATAAGCCCATTGTCTAGTTATTGATGTGGAAACAAACACTCCAGAAATATTTTTGCGAAACAGCATATTGCAAAACAGAATCTGGTAACCACGTACCACAGGTTCATTCATTCAGATAAGTACATAAAAGCTGTACTACTTGTAATGATTCCACTGAAACCGTTAACATATGGCAGGAACAGGTTAGTAATATTGAAGAGTGCAAAATAAAGAAGGTGAACAAACTAACCAAGATGGAAATTTACATCAGCTAAGGTTACTAGGACAAGTATTAGAAAACCCAAAGTACTACGTACTTGGATACTGACGGTAGATAAGGTAAGATTGGGTTATACCACGGAAAATCTGCAGCATTAATCTATGAAGCCACTGACTGATGGTCTGGGCTGTGTACTGAAGTACAACTCTCAACTGAAGTTCGTAAGACGCTAGAAACAATTGGTCAAAAGTCATAGGTGGTATAGCTTAAAATTGAGCACTTTGTGTCTCTGTATGAATCCTGACAAATGGCAACGAAGCAAGGACATAAAATCAAATTTTTCGAGCAACAGCTGTTATCTTGGTATGGTGGTCAGGTTTGATATGATCCAACGACCTATGGTAGATCTTCGTAGAATTGCTCACATGTGGTGGAATCACTGTGTGAGCAATGCTGAGGTCAGGCGAAAGGTGCTAGCCAACACAGGTAAGTTGATTGATGAGGTTGTGAAACTTGGTCGACTGAGATAGCTTGAACATGTACTGTACAAGCAGAGCAACCACCTATCTTGAAGTGCCACGCTAAGGGAAGCTGGATTAGGTTGGAAGAAGGTTCAGAGTGGCGAGACCAAGACGTGACACCAACCGATGAAATTCCTATTCGTTGGGCTGAGTCATGTGGGGAGATGTAGACTGTCTGGTTGGGGTCTTCGAGACGAAAGGAACCAGTGGTTGAGGAATGTTGGCGACAGCAGAAAATCGGTCACAGTGGCTCAAACGTATCCATTCCTTGACCTATTTCTACAGTTTGAATATTCACACTAACCTTTATATTCAGTTTTTTTATTCTCACACTACTTTGCCTACTTTGATATCACTCCTTTTCTATCCATCTATTTTTTGTTTACTACTGTTAAGTGTGGTAACTTGAGCTGATGCACTCCTATCCGAGGTTCTACGCTGATTTTGTCAGTCAGTCAGTCAAACTAAGATATTTATAACCGGTTTTGAACCTGTGGTTCACATCGCCATGAGATGACAATGAACAATAAATTGCCTGAGAAGTATTCTAGTAAATAATACTCTTTCACTGTGATACAACTAAGAAATCCACTGAAGTGGATTAGAAACGTTTTACCAATCCCATATTATCGCGTTTCTATTTTGTGAAAGTATTTTTAGCCTTAACTGTTAACAAGTCTCATAAACTCTGTGACTATATAAAGAAAACAGAGTCGCCGGTGCTTGACAGACAAAACTTTAGATGATTACTGCATATGCAAACCACAGGGTTCTATTTGGAGTACATGTAAGAATTAAAATACTTGAGGGGGGGAAATGGTCATGAATATTTAAAGTAATCTTACCTCAACAATCTGATACAATATTGGACTATTCTCTTCATAAAAACGGCAGTATACTGTGAATATAAGTTCTACTAACTGACGACAGGGTTCGGCAGTTAGCATATGCTGAGAACTGTCAGAGATCCCCAACAATGTCTGAAGATTACATCTACAAAGTTCATTCGCCTGATAATCAACATTCCAAACGGAATTCAGATCAATACAGCCTTCAAGTGCTTCTATCTCACTACCTGCTTTTGTAGTGGTTATACCACCTGAAGCTAAGCAAGCTTCTGGATTAGTTGTGAGAAGTTGGAATTCATTTGCAGAAAGCAGAAACCAATGTTCGAAGAGTGACAACATAAAATGAGTCCACTTTTTATTGACATGTCCGCTGGTCGACAGACAAGACTGAGACATCCATAATTCTAGCTGAAATATTTGAGTGCAATAAACTGAACAGGTAAATCACAGTAACATTCAAAAACATCAAAATATCCTATTATATTTGAAAACCGTGTTAATAAAATTATGAAAACTACCAGTACCAACTACACTTTATTATCGCGGACAATCATCATATTAGGAACAGTCTTCAAACAACTAAGTGGTTTTACTGAGACGAAAACCTACTAACTGGAGACAGCCATATTCACCAAAGACTGGATGTGATAGAATAGATTACCTAAGAAGTCTAAGATAAATAGTTTCGTTACAATTTGACCAGTTTTTAGAGTATGTTAACATCAAGGATTTAATAATACAAGGGACCATATTCATATGGATCTACTCGAAATATAAATGGGTTTGAACACTATTTAGCACATTTTCAGTTCTCATAGACACAAGCTGCACATCCTTAATGATTTACACAGAATAAATTATATTTGACAACAGAAAATAACCAATACTACATGAGGTGAAGCTGTTGCTTCTTGGTTTAGGGAATTGATTTCTAACTGATGGGTCATAGGTTCGAATATAACCCCACCTACCGAGGTCTAGGGAGCTAGGTAGTGTCAGTGGCCCTTACACAATAGGTATGGCTCATTGCCTTCCATTTCAATTCGAAGGCATGTGACTGGCAAGAACTTTCAAAAATCCATGACAACAATTGAACGATGAGGCACAATCAAGACTCATATCATTGTTTCCATCGTTAGTGAGAAAAGGAAGTTTCTTTTTATCCGGAATACAGACAACATGAAATCCTTGACTGCAATTCGTAAATCAGGATCAATTTGAGTACCCACTAACATGGTATGCTACGATACATGAATATGTCAAACTTCAGATCTCTAACAGAACACCAAAGTTCAAAAATGCTATCAGGGTAAGCAAAAGACAGCTTATATTGAAAGAAAAATACCCCAGGTGTACGCCTCAGTAGTCATGATACTGAAAGGACATTTAGATTATGAAGAGATTCGACATATTCTTGAAGACCTACCATTAGGCTGCCGAATGTACGATTCAGATCAGATAGACAAAGATCAAAGAAGAACCTCGCACACGAGTGCATCGGTTCAAGTCGTCACACTTCACAGTAACATGAAAAGAAGTAGACAGAAAAAGACTCATATCAACGATAAAAAGGTATAAGAGGAGAAACAATTTGAAAATGAAGGTCAGTGAAGATATTCAAGCTTTAGAAAACGTCAAAGAATGAATACATCTGTGCCATCGTGACCGATTATCAATTATTTCACCAAGAGTTTCCAACTATCGATTTCTATCATCTTGAGAACCCCAAACAGGCACTCTGTACTTGCCCAAATGGCCAAGAAGAAGAATCAGACTGCATAGGCTAGGATTGTCTTAATTTTGAGATGTAGAAAGTGCCCTACCCAACTTTCTAGATTTGTCAAGCGAAGTTATCAGCGTTCGACCCTTGTTGCTGACGGCCTCACTAGTCAGTCTTCTTTCTTCCGGTATCTTATAAAAAACTAAACAGATGTTGAGTTTAACCTAATGTGAGAGAGCCAGTCACTGAATGTCCAGACACTCGTAAGGCGAATTTCAAACATTTACCGAAAAGGCAAGGTGAGGTAAAGTTAATAACCACACTCCAGTCCTGTAAACGTACCGCAGAAAGACAGCATGCAACCACGACTCGAGATTCCAATCCTGGTAATGGAGGCACGTTGACGCATTTGGCAGTGTTCGGAGGCTGAAAGCTCCAATATGAAGTCAATGTTGGACTCTAAAGACTAGGAACGGTATTTTGCTGACTTGTATTGATGCCAAAGGTTGCAGGATAATAAGTTTAGAAAGCTGTAAGGGGCTCAGTATCAGTACCAGGAGGTGAAAGCAAAGAAGGAGATAGGGGTAAGAAGGGTAGGTTGCGCTTGATCGGGTCTTGTATACCACCAGAAGCGTGAGAGCGGCTGACAGCTCCCGGTTGCCCACACCGTGGAATTTGTTTCTGCAGGGTATCTGAGCGAGAAGGGAAAAAATTTGTGCGACCACAGAGTCCACGGGACAACTGCTCAAGGTCTCTCACAGCCTTCTGAGAATTGATGGTTTAAGATCTGATTGTTCTAGCACCGGACACGGAAGGCCCATACTGCAGGCACCGGAAGACTACAGGGAAAAGAATGTGCTACTTTTTAGCTCAGCCTCTTCTATTCCCTCCCCTGCTGCTTCTCATAGGGAAGGCATCAGCATGATACTGCTGGTCATCTGCAAACACCTTACTGCTGTCATCCCACCAGTCAACAGTACGACTTTACTCTTGAACCACCATAACAGCGCATTAATTTACACTGACGGTAGCTGCTTTCCGTCTTACCACTATCCAACAGATCTTCCTGGCATAGAATGATGTCGAAGGAACAAGTGTTTCAGCTAGTGTAGCTCGGTGGGTCACTGTGATATACAAGCCCGACCACCGAGTCGAAGTAGCAGAAATCTGTTAAGGTGATTTAGGTTACTGAAAATAGGGCTCCTATGGTCGGCTAAACACCATTCTTTGTGCAGGGGATCACTATATATTTTTCTAAGACTTGTAAAACAACACTCATACCAACAGCCAATAAATCCAAACCCCCAGCTAGGGAAACTCAATAAGATGAAACGCTAACATGGGTTTATCAAAATAACTTCTGAAAGTGGTTACATCATAAGACTGCTCAGTGAAGCTTAAAGACTGAAATAAACTAGTTTTGGCAGTTTCTAAGTGCAACTGCTTCTGATTCTATATTTGGCAAGCAACCCTGCATCTGAAGTGCAATAAATCAATTGAAAATAGATCCACACCACGTACCTTCTGTTTCCCCTGTTCAGTGAGGCTAATATAAGCTCCATATCCGGGAGATTTGCAGCACAGTACATTGTATGCGATTGCTAAAAGCCATTTCACTGCATATCTGTTCTTGTAGGATAGTTTTAGACCATCTGAACAAGAGATAATAACCAAAATATGCTCCATTACAGGTTCAATAAAGCAGTTACGAACTTCTGAAGAACATGACAAGAACATTGAAAGAAGCAATTTTGATACACGACGACGAAAGATGTACATTAGAGGTAACTTTTCATTGTCGAATAGATCTTGAAATGCGAGTCTTAACGTCTGAAGGGAAACTGTCAGAGCACTTTCGAATAACTCTTTTGAGTCTTGTGTAGACATGCGAGGACTGAAATCTGTCAAAGAAAAGCAGGAATAAAGTAATCTTGATAGTTTTATGCTGGGGTCAATATTCTTAACTAGATCTGTTGTGACACTCTGGAAACACTCTATAAGATTTGGCAATACACTTCTGACTAGAGCATTAAATGCACGACGTCTCTGAGGTAGGCGGAAGCTTCCAGCAGCTTTTATTCCAGATCGCAAAGAAGACCATGCACACCAATCATAAAGCTTATGCCAGAAGGAGTCAGACCAGTCATTCTTCAGCCACTCACTTTTCACATATTTAGCAACTAATTCCACAATAATTATGCCACTTTTTGGAGCCCTTTCGACTGAATTGGAGTGTTCATTGTGTTCTGTACCGCGAGATAGATAACCAAACAGCAGAGCTTCGACATGCTTTCTTACCCTGATGTCGATATTTTGCCAAACCCTGCCATCAAACATAATATTTTTGAGGTGGATGAGTCCGATTAAACGCCCATCGGGAGACAAACGATCATCGCTCGCGAAAACACATGCAGCGATTGCTGAACACAACTGACTACAATTCTCCTTTGATTCAGTCAAAACTGTGAGCTGCTTACTGGCAGGTATCATGACTTTTGGTTTACTGCATGCTGCACAATTAAGCAAATTTGCAATATCCAGGCTCATCTGGACAAATGAACATCAGTGGCGTACGAATTGGACAGACAAAATCGTAGTATTCGGAAAGCCGCTGACTTCAATATCCAATATCCAACAGCTTTTTACGAACTAGAGTAAGCCAACTGAATTATTTGCGCTCGCTTCTATGCCTTGTGGAACGGTTCCAATTCTTCGATGGGTTCCGATAAAGTAGGTCTGCCCACTCGCCTCACGTAGCTTCGGTTAGCCCGACTGGCGGTTGAATGTTGATTAAATTTATTGGGATTGTGTGGTTTGTCCGAAGACTGCGGTGCAGATGGGTTCCTCAGTTGTCATACCATCAGACAGCTGGTGGGACTGGTTTTAGAGAGACTATAGAAAAGATGTCGAGAGAAGTCAAGGGAGGGAAAGTGTGAAGTACTTGGAGCCTGCATGTGTAAAAAGAAGACCTGTTTTGAGGCTAAATATTCAGTCTAACACTTTTTCACTTCTTGTATGTGTAGTGACAATTCGTCTCTATTTAAAAAGCTCTAGTGTACCCAAAGAATCTACACACATATCTGGATCGGTAGGTGAATCCCCTGTAAGTTCACGTAGATGAAATTCCCTGCATATGTTCTTGTGACCATATAAAAGAAGAGATGCTTGTTGTAGATCTCTTGTGATCTCTTGGTTACTAAGGGTATCAGGTGTCCTGTAGACCCATCCAGCCTGCACTGCAGCATTCCTGAAGTGTATGGTGGCCCATAACGAGTCACTAATCTTGTCGAGTATCACATTTTGCAGCTAGAATTCGATGAGTGTTCAGGAAGATATTAAGCAATCTCCCCTTTTTCATCACATCAGAAGTTTGTGTGCTTATCAACACTTATTTATTCGTTGAGTATATTTGCGTGACGTCAAGGTTCAGCAATAATTATTACCGGCGGCTTAAACAGAAGTGCAATTCCTCTCAATATTGGCAGTTCGCTAGAGGTTGACTTTGCATTCGTCAGAACGATGTATGAATGGGAGGGGTAATAGTATGTAAAGTCCTCTAATTGAAAAAAGGCTGGAGAGTGGCTCAATATTGCCTCACTAGGCATATCCTGACGAAATTGCATTACGCAAAGTATCTACATGTTTCTCATTTGCAGTTTTGGGGTTAATGGAGTAGCCTGGAGGTAAATAGGCAGCATCGTAGTTTGGAAGAGTATCAGTTTTATTAGAGGAGGAAAGGAAAATGTCTTCGCTTGGTGTTGAGTCCGCACACATGTACACGGAGTTGGACTCAATGCAGACGGAGTCTCCGGCTTCTTTGCCTAGCTCTTGGAAAGTAGTTAGTTGTCGTTTCGCAAGTGACGGGTGTCTAAAGCTGGGGATACCAACGAGAGGGTGGGCTAGACCTGTCGTGTATCCATTTCTGTCGACACAACTCGGTTAGATGGCGTCTAAAAGTTGGAAATGTATGAATATTTCTCTTCTTTTGTCGGGAGGAAGCTAAATTAGTGGTTTAAGGTAATAGACCTAAACCTTTCCTTTCAAGTTTTTGGTCAGAACTGCAGTTGATAGAGGCGTAACGGACAAAAAGTTGCGTTTTCGCAGTGTATGTTAGTGTAGCGTCATGCACTTCCCCGAAATCAATAGCCTACGAACATGATCCAACTTGGGCCATATTGGCCAGACAATGCAGAAACGTGGTTTTTGTATGCCGACGCAGATTTTCGAGAACAGGGCGTCTCAGATCCTCATTCTCGATTTCTTGCCGTCATATGTTCACTACGGAGGGAATTAAACAGGCACGTTACAGCAAACATGTTTAGCCCCGAAATAAGTAATGCCTGTGCACTTCTGAGAGCGGCACTCTTGAAGAAAAGTGATCTCACAGATCGCTAGCGCCTAGACTAGTTGCTTCGTAACATCAAGCTAGGCAGCCGCTCAGCTACTGAAATCCTCACACGCATGCCAGAAGTTGCGGGTGCACGAACATTAGACAATGGCCTTTTCCAAGAACTATTTCTCTCAAAACTACCACAACCAGTGCAAACCGTGTTGGTGACACTTCAGTCAGTTCCACTCGATGACCTGGTAGCTTCAGCAGATAAAATACCGGAGATCTCTAGCAGATGCGTCTCCAAAGTATATTCTGTCTGTGACAAACCAGAGAGCCAGAATTCAGAGGTGACCAAGTTGTGCAACTCTGTTAAACAGTTGCTACGATCTCGAAGTCCTAGTGTACATAGCACTTCACAAAAACGCATCTCAGCGCATCGCATCAACTCGCGTGGTTGCCCCAAAACTAAACTTAACAGGGTGAAAAACCCTGAATGGTGTTGGTTTCATAATACTTGCGGAGAAGAAGCCAGAAAATGTCGGAAACCATGTAGTTTTAACAAGGACACAAACTCGGGAAACGGTCACGCAGGCACGTGTTCACGCCAACCGTAGCCGGTGGAAACAGCCGTTTGCTCTACGTCACCGATATGAAAACGAAAGGTCGCTGCCTCGTCATCACCGGCGCAGAAGTTAGCGTTCCTCCCACACCAACGAAGGAGCGTCATTATGACCCATCCTTCAATCTCCAAGCAGCCAACTGCAAGGCAATCGCGACTTTCGAAAGACGACATGCCTACCTCAACTTAGATTTACTTAAACCTATTCACTGGACTTTCCTTCCGGCTGGCGTTTCCATGCCCATCATAAGCACAGGTTCGCTAAACCATTATCATCTACTCGTAGATGCTCGCCGTCGACGTCTGATGGATAACAACACAAAGCTGTCTGTTGGCGCACCACCTACGTAGGTGCGAGTTTAGCCATCGTTGGGACCAGACAATCAGGCGGCGGGTCCTACCAGGCAGTGTTGGAGAAATATCCAGGGTTACAACAGCCGAAGCATACTCTTTCGTGCATAATCAGCGAGTTTATGCACCACGTAACGACCACAGGTTCACCTGTAACATCCAAAGCACGCCCTCTAACCCCTAGTAAGTTCAAAATGGCGAAGGGTGAATTCGACCTCATGCTGGAACTTGGCTTAATCAAACATTCAAGTAATCCTTGGGCATCACCATTGCACACGGTTCCAAATAGGATAGCAACGACTGGCGTCCAACCAGTGATTACCGAAGCCTTAACGCCCAAACGACACTGGACTGCTACCAGTCACCTCATGTTTATGACCTGACCACGACGTTATGCGGAATGAACATTTTCTCCAAAATCGATTTGGCCAAAGCGAACAATCAGATACCTATGATAGCAGAAGATATTGCGAAAATAGCCATTATTGATCCTTTTCTTTTGTTTGAATTAATAATAATAATAGCAATGACAATAATATTCACTCCTGAATATACAGGCACACACCATTTTTACAGGTATGAATAAGTCTATATACAAATTGCATTCATTTTCATGGAAGGTAATCTGAATCCCTACGCGTTGTCACTATAAGATATAAGTGCTGCTTGTTCATATAATGGAACATCCCAGCAGAATAAGTATGCACAAAATTTACAAGTTGGGCAAGTGAAAGTGTTGTCTTCGCATTAAGAAAAAAACCGGGTTTGTATTTAGACATTACAAGTATTGCCTGGAGAAAAATAGAGCTTGAAGCTAATACTTCCATTGTAACAGTTTGTGCTTTTTGCTTAAGATAATGGTGAAAAGTTTGTGAAGGAATGTATGCATGAATTGTTCACATATTCTACTTTGTTGATAATTCCAGGATTGTATAATTCATGCATGTTAATACCATTCCACAGCAAAGATTCACAATCTTGATGAATGTTATGACTGGAGGCCAAATATCTTCACTTTTCCAACTACAGCATCCAGAAGCAATAGACTTGTTTGAATGCGCCAAATGGACTACCAGGACATCTTGTCTGCCGTTTTAACTGGTCGTGGCACGCCACGTTTGCGGGATTTCTGATCCACAACTGAGAGAATTTGAGGGTGAAGAAGTTTGCACGCCGGAGGGATTTAGCTGATTTCATTGTAACGCCGTTGGCGTGGTTATACAGGTCGTCGGAACTGTTGTGTTCGGACTCAAACTCGCCACTGGCCTTAAAAGTGGAGTTGTGTAACACATTAAAGAAGAGTGTCAAGTTAATTTCGAGTCGTCTCATCCGAAGAGGTTTTAGGCCTAGTGTTCTGCATCTGGAGCTGTAGTACCGTTTGCTAGTGTGTCCTGGTAATCTAGCTGTGAAGTACCTTCGGACCTACTCAGTTCTTATTTTGTCATTATTGCAGACACCACCCAGTATAAATGGACAATATTCTAATAATGGAAGCATGCAAGTTTCATGGAGCATCAGCTTGACTTCTTTGAGGTGAAAGATACGAACCACGCAACCCACTAGGATCCTAGATTTGTGAGCTGTGATGCCACCTGTTCAGAAAATTTGAGGTCCCTTGAATATCTTGGTCCAAGGTTACATACACTTTTAAGTACGGACAGTTTCTTAGACTACAGGTGTAGCTGGATGTCCATCGAAAGAGTTTCGAAACATATCCAGCCATATTTGAGTACATTGAATCGAAGTTTCCATGCAGTAGACCATGCGGATATTATATCCAGCCCCCTTTGTGTTAATGCTCGGAAGTGGGATAAGTCGTTATGAGTCAATGTGTATACAACTTTCAGTTCACCAAAAAACCAGAATGGTTTACCGTTGAGAGGCAGCTGCAGACGTCATCGACGTATAAAGTAAAGAGAAGGGGACCTAGTACACTACCTTGAACAACACCAGAGGTGATGGGCCCAGGTTTCGAAGTGTGCGAACCTACCGTCACCACTTGAGTGCAATTACGGAGGAAAGACTTAATCAATCTCAGTGGTGGATAACCAATTCCCGTAGACATCAACTTGCTTATTAGCGGCGAGAGATCAACTATGTCGAACGCCCCTGAAATATCTAGATAGGGTACTGGGACCAATCGGTGTCGGTCACGCATAGTGGTTACCAGGTTAAAGAAGTCAAGATGGCAAGTTATACAGGATCTCGATTTTAGGAACCCATGCTGACCAAATGCAATGATGTTGCCACTAAGCTTGTGCTGAAGAACGCCCTCCTTAATGACTTTCTCTACAGTTCTAGAAAATGCAGGCGTAATATTTAA